GAGTTTTGGAAATATATCAAAATACAAAATGGAAATCAAACGTTCATAAAAATGGAAGCTAAGAGCTAGGATGAAAATGACAAGACTTATTTAGCTTACACTCAATAACCTAGACATAGCTGAAACTCTGAGGATAAGATATTATCTCAGAATATTGTCATGGCCTTAGAGAACTTATATTCATAATACATATATTTGTTATTTTTCTTAGAAAATTCTGCTTTAGGAATACACACAAAACATGATTAGTGGGGCTGTATTAACCTTCCCTGCAAAATTCCTTATCATTACACATTTGAAAGATTTTTAAGTCTTTAATATTTAAATATGTATTTTAGGATGCAACAACAAAATCCTTATTTACCTAAGAAAGAATCATACCAGAATGCCCATGTAGAAATTAGGTGTTTCTAAATCCATAATTATATGAGCATAGAATGTATTTACTGTTCTATATATACATAAATAGAATATTTGGCAATTAGTTAATAACACACAATTAGGTTTATTTAAGACAGTCAATGTAGAGAGTATCATAATTATCATGCATTTTACACATAAAAATAACATGAGATAATCATTTTTTACCTGTTTTAACTATGCTATAGGTAATGGCCCATTAGTTGTATGCTCCATGGCTGCCATGAATGATCCCCCATATTCAGACACCCCTTAGAAATGAGCTTTTGAATAAAGATTGGTAAAGTACCTCTCATTCAGACCATTGGAATGAAATATACCACATCATTGACCAGACATGTGTACTTAAATGAAATACATTTGTTTGTAAAGCAGCAAACAAAAAACCTCTCTCAGTGTGTGCCATTTTCCACTTCAGTTTGTGGCAAAGAGGACCATGTTGAAATAATTTGAGGCCTGGTACATGCTGGTCAGTCTTGGTAATGCAGAAGGGAGGGACCCAGCACATCATTACATTTCACATGTTGTTTTTCAGGAGATGGCTGCAATCAGTCACTTCGCATATGGTTTGAAAAAGACTTGTCTCTCTGGCAAGCAAACTGTTATTTAAGTACACAATCCACTCTACTACTGAAACAGTTTTGCCAAACTTATCCAAGTATTCTCACATGCTTAAAGATGGTATAAATATCATTTATTGCTAGCAGTTTTCTTCAGACTATATGGAATGTCTTCCTGCTGCCTGATCTAAGTGTCCCAGTTTACATTATGGCCTTTACTGCCTCTGTTTGATGGAGTGATCAGTAAAAATTTAATGACACTATAAAATAATAAAAATGTCATTAATTTACCACGGATCTTGGATGCAGTGGTTGTAAAGTTACATTAATAAACAGAATATTTTTTACAACAAAAAGCATTGTTACATGGGAACGTATAAATAACACACATAAATTTAAGAGCAATTTTACTGTTAGCACACACATTATTATGGAATAGCCAATAAGTGTATAAAACATAGTATATAAAATTTTATTAAAATATACTGTGCACATCAAAAATTCAGCTTTTATCTAAGTGCAAAGAAAAGCCATTATTGTGTGCTTGCTGTTTCATTGCTGTTCTTTCCCCAGATCACAATTTTACATTTGATGCCAGTAAGAGGAAGTTGATTTTTTTCCTAGATGAAAACAAACCTCTGTTCTTTTAGTTATCCCAAATTCATCCTCTCTCTGCACCCATGCAAAGACAAAATTGATCAATCTTGCCATGGTAGGGAGGGAAAAGTTGCTAATTTAATGCAAAGTTAAAAATAATGCCCGAAGAGTTGAATGGTTTGTTCAGTGACTCTGGAAATAAGGGATAATAATGCAGTAGTCTATCTGTCATCAGTGAGGCTGCCCCGTCATTGACTCTGATAATATGTGAAGATGATGGATGCTACTGGCTTGTGGCTTGTAACATTTAACATTCATCAGCTCCCACTAAAGGGGGCTTTATCATTTGAATATCTTTATTTAATATGCAACATCTACTTCATACATCATAATTTCAAAGCACTTAGAGAGCCAACAGTCCTACAACACAGCAGAGCTGACTTTAATTTTTTTTCAATAACTTTTATGTTGCCTGCCTGTTTGTGACTGACAATGCATAAGTAAGTGTCTGATCACATTGCTGCATGTAAAATCCACTGTCCACATGAAGATGGGGCAATTTTCCTGGAAGGGGTGGGATTAAATTAGCATTGAGGTATTTTGCTTATATCTCCAACATATCTTACTTGGGAGCTATGTACATGGTGAGAGCTAGTTCAAGTGTGTGGAAATTTGGACTTAAGAACTTGCCACCCACAGTCTATATGTGTTCCGTATAGGGGCATGCTCATGGGTACTTAATGGCAGAAGTTTAAGCTTATTGGAACCAAAGTATCTTTGTACTTCTCTCTGTGCCCACATCCACATCCTGTATTTACTAGGCTCATGTTCAACCTCACTGGTAAAATCTTTGCTTAGCTCAGCTGCCCAGACGTAACTTGTAGACATCAGGCCCTCTTATCTTATGGTTATGTGGCTGGCAAATAAATATTCTGAGCTATTCTTTGAAGAAAAGGAGGAAATCTTCTGGGAGACTAGGTGGAAATTTATATGAAAGGGCATGGCTTTGCAGGGTCCTTCTTTAATCTCAAACACAAGTGCTTAATATTACCAAATCTAAAATGCAACCCACTGCCCAAAACAATTTCTATCATTGATTTATTTTCTTCCTATTTAACAAGTGTTTCATGGGATATTCTTCCTTGATTTCTACTCTGTCAAAATATTGACATTTTAAAGGGAAAGTATCTCTGCAGATTTTTTTTTCAATGAAGTCAGAAAAATGTATGACTTCAAAGACACTGTGAATGTGTTGTTGAATGTTCTGAATGTTTTTTGTTATGATTAAAAACAAGCTGATACTACTGAATTGTGAGTGCACTTCATTTTTTATAAAAGAAAAGATATTATCATCATGTAAGCTTTGTTGTCTTAGGATTTTACAAACCATGGCATGTAATTTTCCCTCTTCTCCTTCCTTGTCAAAATATTGATATTCTTTCAGGAACTTTATTTTATTTTATTTTTTTACTGAGAATATTTTCCAGTAAAATCAAAGAGAATGAGTGACTAGAAAGATACTTGAAATATGCATATTGATAGATAGCACGGTCTGTTGATTTTCAGAGAAAGTTGTTTTTCCCCCTATGAAAATACAGTTAAAGGTTGTTCTTCCAAGCAGATTGCAGGTGTCACATCAAAACTCCTTTTGCATTTAACATAGGGAAAGCATTCACATGCAAATATTTGAAATGCGAAACAATGTGATAAAACAAAGGTTGAATATTTTGCTTTCCCTGGTACTACTCATCTCCACTTTAATTCTTTTTCTTTACATCGTGACAACCAAAGTGCTACTCAAAAATAGAAATTGGCTGATTAAAAGCAGCTGTCCTTTCCCTGACTGTGTGTGAAGCTCCCACAAGGCTTATAGTTGCTTTTTGTTGTGTCCTGCATCTGGGTTAATTTGTTCTTGTGCACCAGTGTTTTCACATAAGAAGATATTAGGGAACCGCACTTAATTTGGTTTTTATTTTCATTCTGTTTTTTATAAGTGTCATATATCAGAGGTTTCCCCACATACTGCTATTTAAACTAGTGAGTATATTACCCAGTTAGGGAAATTCGTGATTGTAATTTTTGTTGCAAATCTTTCATAGAAATGGCGTAGATTAAAGCAAGGTTTATGCTGTGTTTTCTTCCAACACAGATTTCAACATATTCCATGATGAAGGGGAACTGGAAGACTTCCTGCACAATTTGACTGATGGGAATTAATTATAGAAATATAATGATATTCAAAAATAATCATATTAGAAAGCACAAATGTAGTCAGGCTGTACAAATGAGGCACAGCCTCTATCAAGTAATTGTATGTTTGCTCTTTAAGAATATTTCCAAGTTTCTAAACATCTTACAGAAGAGAACACTCAGAGTGTTTCCATCTAATGCCGAACATGCTCAGTACAGAACTAGGTCATTGAACAATAGACTGAACAGCAATCAGCACTCTACTGCTGCATAATGCATTAAGTATAACATGCAGAAACCATTCCCGGAGCTGGAAGCTGCTATTTCATGTCTGTAAATTCAAGCTGACATGACATTTAATATTGTTTCATAGTAATGAACAACAAGGTTTCATTCATTCATAAGCACAACACAAAGCCAAGTTTGAGTCAGGAGAGTAGTAAGGAGACGAGAGGGGGACATGCGCTGTGTTTCTGCAGACAAGAACACCATATTAATGATGGTCAATGAGCTCCTCTGCTACTGATCCGGAGAGCTGCAGAGGGAGTGTTCACTATGATGCTTCAGACTCCTACTCCTAGAAGAACTGGTGAACAAGTAAAACAGCTCTGGGTTTCCCTCCTAAAGCAGCAGGGGTATTTAACTTTGCAGGCACCATGGCTGGCTAGGAGTGATGTCCTCCTTTTTAGTTCCCAGAAAATCACTGTTGAAATTCTGAGACAAAATAGTAGTATCAATCGTCATCTGGTTGGCCTGCTTTGAAATACTTGTTTTTGAAATCCTTGTGCATAAAATTCTGATTTGTATTTCCCCAGAAATGCCAATGTAAACTATGATCTCTAAATGAGAAAATTCCTCTCCCATTAAATTTAGCCATTTATTTCAATATGAACTGCTCTTTCAGGTTTTTGCATTGTTGGCTCAACCCTCTCTATTGCATTCTTTTTAGATTACTGGAGCAAATCCAACAGAGCGAAGATATGCACAGAAGCTCTGGCAAGTTCCCTGTCACAGGTTTCCTTTCCCTATAGGTACTGTGGTCTAGATGCTGTAAGGGCCGTCCGTGTCACAAACAGCTTTCAACGGAATCTTCCTGAAAGATTTTCAGAGTCCACGTTGGTCAGAAATGATATTTTTGAATTCACCTTTTGGCCATTAAGTAAGATAGAAACTGGAAGGAAATGGTGGCTGTTTTGGAAACTAGAATAAACCTCTGATTATTTGTTCCTCTAGGAAAGAACGCGCTTTGAGAATCTGGGACCCCAGTTAACGGGAAAGTCAAATGAAGATGGAAAACTGGGCCCAGGTGTCATCGACCTTACTCGGCCAGAAGATGCAGAGGGTGAGTGGCTTTTCTCTAGCTCTTTTCTGCTGCTCCATGTGTTTCCAAAGGTGTGTCTGAGCTAGATATAGGATCTTTATAGCTTTTCATAGGAGTCATCAGCTAGATTTCTTAGGCAAAGCAAAGGAAATGTAACTATTTAACTACGTATGTTATGTTGTGCATTATAGTAGAAGACTTTAAGAAGCAGCTAGATCTTACATTACTGAATACTTAGCAATCCAAGTACTTCAAGTTACCATCAAAGTTTTAAAATGAAAGGATCCTCTACATTTCAATGAACAGCAGAATTCTGTGTTTCATCCATCTCACTGCATTTGCATTTAAAAAGGGAAAACATACAAAGGAGGACTTTTAAACATTATTTTGTCTTTCATTGACAAGTAATAATTGTATACATTTATGGGGTATAAAGTGATTTTGATACATGTATACATTGTGGAATGATCAAATCAGAGTATTTAGCATATCCAAATCAAGTGATTCCCAGGTACAATCAAACTATTTTGGGGATTAAATGATAGTTTGCAGCAGTTTTAGCATAAACTTAATAATTGCTTGGGGAAGGCCCAGTCTGTGCCTATCCAGTAACTATTACTAACGTCTTTCAGAAGTCTGGGTAGAAAGACCAGCCTTCCTCTCAGAATATTTACCCACACCAATATCAATGCCTGTTCACTTCTCTTCCCTTTTTGTTTGTTTGTTTTAAATGCACAGCAGCACATCAGCAGAAATCGCTCCCCAGAGTCTGGGTACAATTTATGGGTTAGGTCAGCACTTCAGTAGTAATGTTGCCTGGTTATTTACTGTGTCATCACAGAGTAGAGACTGGTTTTCCCGTTAGCTGTTCCTTTGGCGGAATCTGTCCCACCAGTCAGGGAAGATTAATTTGTTCTCTTCAGAGTAACATGATACTTCACCCATCTCAGGTCCCAGCTAAAGTCCTTCTTTAGCTTAAGGGGAAGAATCTCACTAGTATCCCTTTAACTGGCAGGGTTTCTTCCAGGACCCTAATCCCTTGAAAACACATGAAGACACTTCATAGCAGCATCTAAACTGGGCATGGCTTCTAGTGAGAGCCTGGGGCCATCCCAGGCAGCCCAGAAATCCCTGGAATGAGGACTCAGAGTTGAGTAGTATTAGACATTAGGAAGCCCTTCAGAAAGTTTTCAGAATGATAATTTTTCATACTAGTAGGAAAGACTAGTGTTTGATGACAGTTTGGGAGACAAGGTGTTAAAATAAATTCTGATTAGGATGTGTATGTGTATACGGGAGTAAAGAGGGAGGGAGGGAGGGGAAGAGAAGAGAAAGGAAGGAAAGGAACAAGGAAGAGGGAAGATAGGTAGGAAGGGAGGCATAAAGAGGACTCAAAATATGCTTGCTGTCTTCCTTGAAGAATGTCTATCAACAGCCCGATATTTTCATAGGCACTTAAAAGTGCAGGTTTTCCACTGATAAGGGTTGAGGTTCCTCTACCTACGGAGCCAGGAAGTCCAAATGATGTTACTTGCACAGTTAACCATCTGACTGCAACACAGAAATTGTGGCTGACCTAAAAGCCTGTGTGGAAGCACTTCAGGTCTGGCCCATCTCAATTTTATTGGGAGACGGTACTGTAGAGTACCTAAATTGTTGACCATATGTAATGAAATAAATATTTTTCATTACTTTGGAGTATTCAGTCTGTTTATTTGACAACAGACTGGTCGTTACAGAGCTCTATCACCTTACCTGTGCTGTCAAAGACTTTTCTTTATTTGTCAGTCACCTTTTTTCATTTGCTTCCTTAACTGCATATTTGGTGTAAATATAGTCAGTTATCTCTCTGTAATGTCATTATCTAGTTAGTGATATCATGTGCTTGGTAAGTTAAAAATCATGGTCTGAGTTATTAACTATATAAAAGGAAAAAGTTAAAAATTTAACTCTAGAGAAACATACTGTATATAAATATTTTTGGATATTCTATTCAACGCCTAGATTGTCTAGATTCAAACCAATTTCCCTGGTTGTTTTGTTTTTAGAAAACATTTTTATCAAGTGTTTATATACTAGAGAATATGTTAAGCTTTTTACCCACATTTTCTCATTTAATCCTTATACACATTGTGAAGAAGGTATTACTTTTTCCGTTTTACAGGTGAGAAAACTGAGGCTGAGAATAATTAAATTACTCACTATGAGCCACATATTAAGGTTAGAGCTGAGATTCTCCCAAGCAGCCTGCCATACTGCCCCCTACTGTATATGTAGAAACACATGGTCCCTTCTTCTTTCTGAACAAACTCCTTGTGACCTTCCTCAGTACAGCCCATTTCCTCTGCCCTAAATATAGCAAGTCATGCCATATGCCAGCTCTCATGTTACTCTGTCACACATAGCAGCAGTGCCTGATGAGTGTCATCGTAGAAGGGCTGTAGTGGCCCAGGAGCTTAAGGAGCATGTGAAAACCTCCTTTCAGAAGCTTGCCCAGAAGTTGCCATTGAGACCTCATGTGCTTTTGGGGGTTCATGAATGGAGTCAAGTTACCTGTTCTAATACCGACCGAAGTGCAGTGCTTCTGTGAGGACTGCTAGCATGGGTAGCAGCCTTCTGCTGACTTAAGGATGTATCCTGGCATCTGTTCAAGGCTGAGCTGATTGCAAAGTCTGCTGGAGTTACACTTCATATTAAAGTCAGAGTAGATAACAGGTACACATGATACTTTCTCTATTTTGTTCCTTCATATTTCCCTTAACAGTAAGATTAAGAAGAAACTAAAGTATCAGAATAACTAAAAAAATTATTTGCTCCTTCACTTAGTCTTTGGTCTAAAAAATCAACCAGCCAACATTTCTTGAGTGCCTACCATGTGCCAGCCCCTAAACTAGTCTTAGAACAAACAATGGGAAGCAAAGCAGAGATGTCCTTGACCTCTTTAAACATATGGTCTAGTGAGGAAAGACAGAAGATTAAAAGGGAAATATGTATACATATAATTATCATGGAGAAAAGCACTAAGAAGATCAGGACTTCTTTGTGCTCTATAGAGGATTCAGAGTGAGAGCTCCTTAGCGGGGCTGAGTTGATAGGTAACTACTGTGCCTCTGGCCCAGATATCTTCTCCCTCAGTCCAGACAGGTTCCCTCTGGCTTTGAAACAGCAATTTTAAGGGGCTATGCCCTCCCTCCACATCTACCCCATCCTCCTGTGGGGCTTCTGAAGTGACGAAAGTAAGCCAATCTGGAAGATGAGGCCCTGCTTCCACCAGGCTTCCCAGAAAAATGTCTGTCAGCCATGAAAATGACAGTATCACTTAGTAAGCAACTTGTAGACATGCTTCATAGCCCTGAGCCTGGAGACAGTGAGGAAAAGGTCACCAAAAGAGGCAGCTGTGGATGTGTATTAACCACTCATCAAAATCATATGACAAAACCATAGGCAAGGAAAACAGAAATTAAAAATATAAAAGGCAAATGCCTTCAAAATTTTATTTTTAAAGTCCAGCTGTTATTTGGCTTGAATGTGACAAGACAGCATTTCTTGTTCACCATGATATTTATAAAACTACGAATTCACTGGTGCCGGGGACTTAGGAAACATGTTTAAGGTTGTGTTATACTTTGAAGCAGTTGAAGTCTTAACATGTATTGAGTATACATAATTTGTTAGCTCGTATGTAGGACATGTAAGGAAGAGAGGGCTTGATTAGTTGAGTCTGTCACCATATAATTAAGAATAGTGAACAGCTGTTGAACTTTTTATGGACTTTTCGTATGGCATTGCCCCTTTTCTTATTCTGCTTAGGCAAGAGTGCAATTCTTATTCCAGCTCTCCTAATTTCAAGGTTGCCTATAGACTAGAAAGAGTTCTAGCCTGTTTAATGGGAGATTTGAGTTGAAGTTCCTTTGCCAAACAACTAAAAACAAGAACCTCTGGGCTTAAGTTTCTTTATCTTTTAAAAGAGGTACGTTGGATTTGACTTCATCTAAGGTCCTTTCCAAGTCTGCGATTATTATTAGAATCTTCATAAAACACTGAGTGAATTTCCTATCAGAAAGATGATCTATCTATCATAGGTTCCATTTAGGGATTTTTTTTTAGAGAAGTAAAAGAGGAGAGTAATGGCTTAGAGGTTGTATTTGTGCCACTTGCTGAATTAAGTTTTCATGTTCCTTGAGCTTTCCTTTTTGTTAATGAGAAGATCTCTCCAGTAGTATTTCCCAATTACCTTCACAGATAGGCTCCCTCCTCTTTCTCTCGGCTCTCCTTTTCTCCAGCAACAATAGTTGAAACTCAGCTTTTTAAATATATTCTTTTCCATCCTGTTTCTTTTTTCTCTTATACCTGGGGTTTCTAAAGGGATACTTTTCTTTTGTTTCTGTTTTGCTGTATGGTTTGTTTAAGAAAACATTCCTCTAACACCTTTAAAACAATTTTCACATCAATTACTCTGTCCCAGCCTTATTGAGAGGTTGTACATTTTGATTTGGGGCATAGTGAAAGATAAGCCTAGCATTTATGGATGAGCTCTGAAAGGGATTATCTTTGGCCAGACTGTTGGACCCTGCATCAGAACTGGAATGATGTGCTGCCCTCCATGTATTAAAACTTTGCATTGATTCAAATGGAAATAGATATGTGTACCAAGAATACCCTCTTTTGGGACTATTGCACTCACATTTCTTCAGAAGCATTATATAGATTTATACTGAATTTGTGAACTGGAACACAGCCAAGATGACATTACCCTTCTGAAGCTTTATTTGTGTGTGTGTATGTGTGTGTGTGTGTGTGTGTGTACCTCCATTTGCTTCTGAGTTTTATATCTCAGGATAGTTTTATTATTGTCAGCTTAAGCTCTTTGTTTAAGACAAATAGCAGAGATTGCAATAGTTCTTCTTTTCTTTAAAACACACTGCTTAATATGAATACCCTCTCTTAAAAATCCTGCTCATTCTTTGATCCACATACTTGGAAAGTGTTGAAGTTTTCCTCATTCCCCTACCCTTCCTAGA